TAAGCATGTCAAATTTTGTTATATAATAAAAGGTTTATAATTAGATTTCAAACATTTCTCACTATAATAATAGTGAGAAATTAAGGGAAAAATAGAATCCAATTTTGTTAAAAAAAATTGAAAATAAACGTCTACAGCATCACAAATGTATTGTCGGGAATAAAGACAAGAACAATTTGACATGTCGACTCATTAAACGATCATAATCGATTTCGCATCAACAAGTAAAGATCAATAACTCAACTAAACCTCTGCTCTAATAATTAAAAGAAAAAAAAAAAAAAACACCTAATCATTCACTTAGTCACAATTCCCTAATGGAAAATAAGAGAATTGAAAAGAAAATCTCATTTCATAGAGTTTAATTCCTAGAAATAACTTGTACATATAACCTTAATTTTATCTGAACTTATTTTGTCTAATATAGCTTGAACAAATAGTACCTAGGTGTCAATTCAGGTAATTAGATTAGATTCATTTAAAAATAGTCGAGTCAGATTCAGTTAAATCTAGGCGGGTTAAGTGTGAGTCATGCTTAAACATTGTGTTCATATAAGTTGGAATCTTAACCGAGTGTCTTTCGAATTAGGTAAGATTTAATTAGATTGATGGAGTTGATTTTTAACGCCTCTACCGAGATCGAGCATATCCTAGAGAACTAGACTAAGAAAGCCTTAGTATGTCACTATCAATTTAATCAAGAATGTTCAATATCTAAATATCGTGTACTACCAAAATAGATAAAAAAAAATAATTTTAATTTTCTTGAATTTAATGGGAATGCCTTGTGAAGAGTAGCAGTACTAATAAATAACTTGGTATAATGGTCAGACTCAGCCATCGCTGCATTCATTCTGCAAGTTGAAGACAAACAATTCAAGCACTCCATCTTTTATTTAACGTCATGATTCATGCTTTCTTTTTTAATTTGTCAAATTTTTTGTCACCCCTTTTGAAAATGAAATGAAGAAAAAAATAAATATTACCTCCGTTTTTTTTAGTTAACATGTTTTGACTTTAACACTATTCACACTCCCCTTTGATTGTATTTTGTGCTTTATATGTAATGAGAAATATTGTCATGTGAAATTTTGTCAGATTTGTCACGATATATATTTTCAAAATATCAAATTTTCATAATTATTGCTTATCGGTAATTAAAAATATAAATAATTAAAGTTGTGCATTGACAAATACGACTAAAAAAACGTGTCAATTAAAAAGAAACGGAGGAGTAATACGTAATCCAATTGATATGAACTTTTTAAAGAGTTGACCCAACTATAATTCTGGCTTTTGCCATGACATTTTATCATGGGCTTATACTCTTGCTTTTAATTGATGGACCTAGTTGGGCCTGATTGTTTCGTTATTGGGCTGAAATCCAATTTGGACTACTTTCTTTATTTGATACTAAAATGGACCCACTTTGTCTTTACGAATAATTTTTTTCTTCTTTTGGGGAGAATTCTAGCATGAGACGGTTTTATTTCATTGACGGTATCACCCTCTTTCTCAATGATAGTCCATTTTCATAATAAGCAAATTCATCCATTGTGAAAAGTCTCATATTATATTTTTGAGGTGAAATAGAGGGCTATAAGAATAATAATGTGGACGAGATTTGATCTTCTCCCAACAAAGTTACTGACATCCACAAATAAAATTCTAGTATAGATAGTTGTGTTAATATTAGATTACACGTGTGCTCTTGTTTCTTTTATACGGATCTTAAAAGCTTAGAACCGGTTTAGCAAACAAACCATCCTACAATTTTAAGATTTTCAGTTATTTGCTTATTTACTACTCCGTAGTTAAGATTTATAATAACATTATGTAATCTCAATTCTCAAATATGAGTGTCATGCTTGCAAATTGTTTCAAAAGGATCATAATTATCTTACCTTATAATCAACAATAATTGTACAATGATCTATGATGACAGCCAGGCAATGATTGGTGGATATTGAAGTTAGTTGTACAAATCATAAAATATATATTGTTCTTAGTGACGGCAGGCAATATATGAGGAGGGTGTATTTTATGGAATTTTAAGTTTGTAAGGAAGAATAATTGTTGCTTCAAGTCATTCTCAATTTTTTAATTAGTGAAGCAAATTGATTCCTTAATTTGAATAAGATTACTTACGAAGTGAAAGATTGAATGATGAAAATTTCAACAATTCTTTAAAATATGTGGATAGTAGAGGTCTATTATTGGTCTTTTCAGCATGATGCATGACAAAGATAGAGTGAATTTGATATGCACAAATAGGAATTGCAAGTAGGCTGTTTTAATTCAGGGTAATTTGGTTGTGGTTGTAAGCGAATGGTGAGTTAGTCGATTTAGGTCGTGTATGGTTTTGAGTTGACTAATCGAGTCGAGTCTACTACGGAGTAGTTTTTAAACGCAATGTTATAGTGAAAAGTTCCTAACAGCATAGGGGGGTTGGTGAATAGTTATATGGCATCGGTCTTTGACACACTTAAATAAAATGTATTTTACTTTTTTTTTAAATGAGGAATTTTTTCAAAATGGTAAAAATCAATTAGAAGGCGGGATGAGATGAAACGCATGTACTAATTACGGAATGCTTGTTATCCTTTTGCCAACCTCTACAACTTAAAGAAGGATTGGTGGAAGGGAATTCGCCTTTGGTTGTTGGTAAAAGAAGGATCAAAAAATACATAATTGGTAATCACACAATTGAAGTACATTCTACTAATAGTACGGAGTATGTTTTAGGTCCTGTTTGGCAAAAGTAGCGGACATATACCTTTTAGCAGTCGAGTAGCGATAGTGGTTAAGGTAGCGAGTAGCTGTCAATTAGTAGTGGGTAAAGGTTAACTGTCAAAGTAACTGTTGATAGTATGAGTGTTTGGTAAAAGTAGCGGTTGCAATACTAAAATATATCAAAATTCATATAGATATTGTTTAAAAAGTAATAAAAATTTGTCAAATATTACCCGCTACTTCTAAACGCGGCTATTTTTAACATTTGAAAAAAGCTACCTAAATGCTACCTGTATCGCTAACCGCTTCTAGAATAGCTATCTTGCTAAACACTCTCAAATTTTTTCTATAGTGTTTTGACTAGTCAAAACGCTAACCGATACCTCAAACGCTACCACCAAATAGGGCCTTAAAGTGTGGACCAAAAATGTATATCCACCATCTAAGCAACTAACAAAAGTACTACTTGTACTTTCAATTTTCCCAAATTGGCCATCAAATTGTACATTGTGCACATGGATATCCATTACTAGATATATTAGGTAATACGGAGTATTTTTTTTAATACTCGTAGATGTTTGGATGTATATTTTGTTTGGTAAATGTAGTTAATATGTCATAGTCCCTCTTTTAGGGTTTAGGCAAGTGTTATACGCTTTTAATTATGTCTATAAGATTTAGGTAAGTGTTTTATGCTTCCATTAATAATTACCTCAAATCATTGATTCACAATTTGATCTCTAAACTAAATACACCTTTCTTTTAATATGATTTGATGTTCGATGGTTAATACCAAACAACTAACTTCTCAAGTAAAAATAATTTCCTTAAACCTAGAGGGTACTTGAGGGATAGATGTTCCCTTACCCTTTCCTTTACTCTCAAGTGTCTAGATCGCAATATTGGACTTAAAAAATTGTAAGAATTGAGATCTGATCAGCTCATCCGGGTACTCCTTGTCAATTTTATTTTATTTTTTTAATTTTTAAATAGACATCTAATTTATATGCTTCGTACTCGTCAATCGTCATTTCATAAACATAATGTAACACTTCCTAGCAAAGTAAACTACCTAATAATATTTAAGTAACTACAATTGCACATTACACAATAGTACAATACTGATGTTCAAACCAACGATCACTAAAATTTTCATATTACAACATCCAGTAGTACAGATTCAATGTACAAAGAAGAAAGCTAAAATTTCGTCTTTCTTCAACTCTATAAAAAGTAAAAACCTTTAGAATAACTCCATTTGTCTAATACTCTAATGACATTTTCAAAGTTTCTTTCGCCAATTGGCCGCACTTTACATGCCTACCCGTACTCCAACTTCACTGCTACGAGTTAAAAAAGGTACTAAACCCGTACGTATCAAATTAAATATAATTTTAAAATCCCAATAACATAACAACCGTCCACCTGTCGAATCCTAATAGGTTCACTCCTGTCAACCGTCCAAATTGCGAAACCCAAGACCCGACCAACCCGTTATTTATCATATCATATGATCATATCTCCCATATCACATATCACATGGGAATTTTTTTCTCTTTTATTAATTATTTTTTCTAATTTTTTTTTTATTTTATTTTTATGAAAAATGTTATACACACCCAAATATAAAGAGCTAAAGATGAAAAAAGACAAATAAAAATATAACATTAATTACACTGATTTGCGCGTGATTTTGTCCGACATTTCTAAATTAATACTAAATTAGGAAAGATATTAAGTACTTATTCATATACCTATGGGTTACATATAGCATTACCTTTTTTTTTTTTTTTTTTACTTCATTTTTTGGTTGTATCACTTTTATTTTCATGGATTTCTAGGTAATTTTTTGAAGTTAAGAAATGTGGAGAGAAATAAATAGGGCCCATGTGATATAAAGAGAATTTATTACTTGAAAAGAAAAGTGATACAATTAATTTAAAACTTATTTTTTAGGAAAGTGATGCAACTAAAAAAACGGTTACCCTATTCATAATAAAATTATGTTTCTGTTTTGATTTTTGTTATGTTCAAATTTTTCAACATTTTAAAAAAAATTCTCATTAATATATACACAATATTTATATTATCAATCTGTCTTAATGTATGTAGAAATTAATTTTGGCATATTAAAAATTAATTTTTAGCACATCTATTTCGTGAAAAAAAGTTATAAATGTGCCAAACTCAATATTTGATACGTCGGAATCATTTTTCATTCTATAGTTATATTAGTGGTTTATATAAAGTCTTAAAAATCGTGCAAAACCAATTTTTATAAACAGAGAGTATTTATTATCTTATTATTATATATTTTAGTTTATATCTAAGGTATCTCCTATATAAATAACCTAATTCGGCAAAGTGTAGTCTTTTCACCACCACACAAAAAAAACACTCCTTCCACAATCATCTCCAACAACCAAAAATAAGCCCATATCATCAAATTTTCTCCCTTAGTATCAATGGGGGCAGAGAATAACAAGAATGGAGGAAAATCAGGAAAAAGAAGACTAATATTCACCTACGGAACATTAAAAAAGGGATTCTCAAACCACCGATTGATGGAGGAATTAATGGGGAACGGAGACTCGACATTCATCGGATCATTCCGAACCGCAGAAAAGTATCCCTTAGTATGTGGACCATACAGGGTGCCATTCCTTTTGAACCTTCCCGGAAAAGGCGATATGGTATGGGGTGAGGTTTATTCTGTATCGGAGACGGGCCTCGCCCGCCTCGATGAGCTTGAAGGTGTCACCCGCGGCCATTACCAGCGATTGCCGATTCAGATAGCTGATTTACCAAATGGTAAAGATTTGGATTTAGATACAGCGGAAGCGGAGGCGGAGGCGTATTACGCGGATGAATCGTATGCACAAGAGATGTGGAAGAGGAATGGTGAGGCTGGGTTTGTGAGTTATTCTCATAAGGAAGCTAAGGGTTATGTTAAGCGTCAAGATCGTCCTCAGAATATGTCGTTTCTTGACCACATTTCTCGTTTTCTTTCTTCTCCGACTAATACTAATTCTTGTTAATTTACTAATTTCTCCTTGCTACTAGTTATTTTTCCTTCATTCTAATAAAAATATTTGCCACTTGTTGGTTCTCAATTGGTTTTGATTTTGAGTTTGTAGGTAGTTTATTTTACCCTCGAGTGTAAAATTATTCTAGCTCACATCACATCCCATGTTTGAGTAAATGTGAGTGTGTAAGATGAATATTGTAGGCCTAGTTATGCTTTTATTAGTGTGTATGTATAGTAGTGAAAATTAATCTTTGATGTACTTAATCTATGCATAGTGCATTATTAATTTCCTTAATTATCTTTGTAACGTGCTCCAAATTTATTAATTCTCCATTTCATTTTATAGATTCAAGTGCATAATTTAAAATACTCAGAGCATCCACAATGTCTAGTTACATGTACATGTAGTTTTGGGTTGCCACATTATAAATTTCCAAGTTACATGATTTTAGCTACAGCCTCTACATTCTTTTATAATAAATAAACAAATATATAAAATATATTAAACAAATAAATATAATAGCATTGGGTGGAGTGAAACCACAAAACTCTATAGAGCTATGTAGTTTGACTTAGCTACAAGAGGTTATAGCTTCATAATGGCTAACATGTAAATAATTGCTAGCAGGTTCTTATACACAGCCATTGTCGATGCTCTAATAATTTTCTTAAGAAAAAAAAACTACAAAGGTTGTTTCCTCCATTTAATTACATTTACAATGAAGAAGTCAACTTCCCACCCCCAAAAGGTGGAAAAGACTTCTAATATTACTCTTTCCGTCCTTTTATTTTTGCCCCATTGTCATTTTTGGTCAAACTTTGACTATAGATTACCGTTAATGTATAAAAGATAATATCGTCATGAGTAGTCTTGCTAGATTCGTCTCATTTTATTTTTTATTAATATCACGTTTTTATAATTTTTACGTATATAGATCAAGATATACACATTTTAAAATGCGTTTTGAAAACCGTGCACAATCAAATGGGACAAAAAAGTAGGGATAGAGGGAGTATCTTAGAATTTTGCCTCTCAATTTGCCTTGCTTAAAGCATTTGAGCCCAAATCAATCAAATGTATGGTTAACATACAAATCCACCAACCAAAAGTCCTTTTCTAGTTTCTACCCTCGCAAATAATGAATTTACTCTAAACCCTTTTACTAAATCACCAACTTTCAATGAATTTCAATCACTATATGCTTATTGTATCAATTGCGGTGCAAATTGAGACTCGTATTATTAATTACATATACCTATTACAAGATCAACAGCATATCATAATACTACTAACCATATAATGTGCTAATACTGTGTTGAGTATAATGTTTAATCTTTGATCAATTCAAGTCAAATAAGTTTGGCCACTAGAATCTTTGAAAAGCTAAATTTTCTAAGAATGAAGAATTAAACCCCTAGTTCACCACATTAAAAAGTTAACAAATTAATTAATCAACGAATAGATTCATTCAAAGTTCTACCTCTGACTTTCATTATATTTCTTTTCTAATGTACAATTGTAAAATAAAAATCTGTCACATACTTTAGCACTATATATTACAATTATGTTATTCTATTAATTATTCGTGATAGGTATAAAAATGATATTAGCATATAAACTAATATAATATGATTTGTACTACTTTATGTAAGAAGTGAGACAATGTGATATTAATTAAACCAAAGAATACTTAAATGGTATAAACAGGGACTAGAATGATGGCGATAAGTATATATAAGAGTAAATGTAACGCAAATCAATAAAAAAAATAGAAAGCCATTTTCAATTACGTAGATAAGTAAAATTATATGCATAGATTATGGTCCTAAGAAATCACGTATATCTCTTTATTATTAGAGTATCATTGGGTGAAGGTAGAATTGGTCTAATTGTTCTAGTAATCTATTTTCTCAAGTTATACCTCATTCATAGTTGTTTATTCCAGCGTATTAACTAGTTCAGAGGCATGACCCATGGAGATCGCAAAAGACTCCACTCTTCCTACTCGTAGCTCAACGGCCATGGTGGACTCCTCTTTAAATTAGTTGAAAGTTCTACGGCAATCTATACAACAGTTATATTGGATATTTTTAGTTGGGATCGAATAATAAGAGGTAATTCCGTATAACATCCACAATTGAAAGTATTGATAGCAACGAACCAAGTACTCGTACATGGGATGCAACTACAGTCTAGAACAACAGTTTAGTCTCTCAAAACAAATTCCTGCACCACAAATATAGGGAAGATATTTGACTTTTGATGAGACAAGCCTCTAATTTATACCACTCTTGTTCGAAGATTGCTTGACACATTTTCAGTAAGCTACAAAAACTTCAAACTATGTGCGGTAGATATTTTCCAAGGCATATTTTGTGATAACCAATCTTGTATTTGTTACCTATGGTCCTACTACCACAACTTTTGACACAAATTTCTATATTCGCTTAGATTTTGTTCACCCCTACAGAGCTCTAAAAGATGTCACTCATACCCTTCCATAAATATTTCACCAAGTAGAGTTCGAGTCTGGTGTCATCTATGGTTCATAAGGCGTCTATCGATCTTATCGAGCCAAATTGAGGAGCCATTCCTTTAATTTTCTATCAAGACTTTTTCAATCAGTGAAGTTGTATTTCAAAACAGACCTTGCATCATTGCCACGACAGTTAACAGCATCACCTAAGCTTAACCATTTGTTCTGAAGTATGTTCTTTTCTCATTCAACAAAGAATAAAACAGAATTGTGTGTGCTATTTTCAGGGTATCTTTATTTCACAAGTACAAGAGAATGAGCTCAACTGAGAGCAATAGATTGTTAAGACACCAGTGAAGAATAAATTTCTCACAAAGCATTTACTGCACCTTAGCATTACTACTCTAAAGCCATTTTCAATCCCTAACATGCTGTGCAAACCATAATCGCACCCAGATACAAAATACTAATAACTCTCTTTTACTATTGTACAAGTACAGCAACAACTTGGTCCTTCATCTCGCCCTCCCTCCTAAGTTTGAAGACTAATCATAGGACTGAACTCTTTGTAAGTGTAGTTTGGTAAACAAAAATAATGGCAGGACACTCAAACTTTACCGTCTTCACATTCATTTGCTTCCTTGAGGTGTTGATTATAAGACCTACAACAAATAAAAATGGGATGAGAAGAACTGGAAAGAATGGGAACTAGCTAACCTCGGAAAAATAAGGTGCACAAAGACATGGAGCACATCATTCATCAAAAGATCATCTAGTATTGCTACAGAGTGAACTTTAAATTAATAACCTTTTAAAAGTCTTCAGAGAGTCAAAGTCAAGGAAAACATAAATATGCACCAACAAATGAGATTATCCCTGAATCTATTGAAATCAATTCTACATTTTGAGACCACCTCTACAAAATCACTTGTTTGTGGATATATGACACAACCTTAGCGGCTTTCCTCACGTGATTATACTTCATAGCACTAGAAAGGGTAACCACCAAACTTTCGTAGCAAAGATACTTGTCCCCAATCCACACCACAAGAGCTAATGCTCGAAATCAAAAGAGTTTCAACATAAGTTTGATAAAGTTTCTAGCCAGTTGACTTCTAAACAGAAAAAACACAAGCAGTTCCTTCAACATCATCTAGAAAATTTACAACAAACACCCACAGGTAAACCCACATGCATGATCGCCTTTGCTACCATGCACTGTGGTGTCTCACGATGAACATATTTCGTTATATTTTCTACTTGGGTTTCAAGTTCTTTTTAAGATTACAATTTGTCAAAAGCAGCGTACATAAACCTGGCAGCAATGAAGGATCAGAGATGGTCTTGACTCTAGAACTAAAGCCCTACATAAGATATTGGTCATGAGAAAATATCCACCTCTTCCTCTTCGAAAAACTAGGATACATACAAAATGATAGATTGAGTTGAGTTGGTTTCTTCCTTTGATTCCATTTTCTTCCAGTAAATAAAATGAAGTTCAACAGCCATATACTTCAAAATTTCACAATCATTGAACAGTCAATACTCATTCAACCACTATGCCCAATCACAAAAATTAAACTCATCTTTCGTCGAACTACCAAGCTAGGTGATTGATTACCTACTTGCTTACAAATAGGATACTTGAAAATTTCCAAATCTATAGGAGAGGAAGCAAAAAAAGAACTCTGAAATTTTTTTTTGAAATCAAAGAAAGTCATTCCAGAGTAAATTTAGCATTGTCATACCAAAGAGAAGAGTGATTGATGCCAAGACCATTGCAGGTGAGTATCATTCCTTTGAACCTGGCAAGGTATTCCTGGATTCAGGATCAACATCAATGAATTAGTCACATACCAATTAACAAACATAATAACCATTAACACAGAAAGCATATAAATTTGTTTAGTCTCAAATAGCAAATTAAAGTGTACAGATAACCTTACCGGCAGAGAGTACTTATCAATCTCATAATCCCCACTTAGATCGTATTCGAGTCGTTTTGTAGGATCACTCAAAACTGACAAATCAAAAGAGATGAACAAAAGAAAGAGTGAGAAATGAGAATTTAGCAGAAAGCCAACATACTCAAATACATTGAGAAAACAGGGTGAAAAATCTGAAAATTAGTCAACAAAAATTTCCTGGAATTCAAGAGATGATTCAATCATGATCACTAGTCCAAGAACTTTGGAAAAGAAGTAGCAGAACACATTGTTTCAAAGAAGCACGACCACAGAATGACCAAAATACAGCAAACAAGAGCAGCCATTGGTTTTGAAAGGAGTAGTGATTAGTGAATGATCACAAAATCACAATGGACATACTTCTGCATTGATTGGGAGGAAATTTTCCTCTCGGAACGAAAAATAACAGTCAATGATATCAATAAAATGAAGTTACCAGTGACAATAATAATAACAGAATGCAGCTTCTCTCAGCCAACTTAATCACATAATACCAGAATGCAGCTTCTCTCAGACAACTTAATCACAAATGAATTATCTATTTCAAACAATATAAGAAAGTTGCACTATAAGAGAATCAACTGATTAATAAATAAGGGATAGATCTCCCCATAAACAGTACGATTGGGATAATGTCACGGTCAAATGCATAAATGGATTGGTGGGTTCAAATGTTCAATTCCCAGTAGCTTGTTAGTTTAAAGTAATTAGCATAAAGAATACCTCTGTAAGCTTCGTTAATATCTTGAAATTTGGCAGTAACAGAACTATCGTCCTTATGCTTGTCCGGATGCCATTGCTGTTCAATGTTGAATAATGTGAGCATAACAACACAACTAAGTTTTAAAGAAAAAATTGCATAAACTCAGCAATGCCAATAAGCTATCTAAATGAACCATTTTAGTTCTTCAGAAAAGTGACAATATAGGATTAAACTCACCAAAGCGAGCTTTCGATAGCTTAATCGTATATCCTCGTCCGATGCATCATAATCAACTTCCAAAATCTTGTAATAATCCTTTGTCATAATTAATCCCAGTTAGGTAACATCTCACAGCAATGACAACCCTAAACTTAAACGGAAGTTAAATTTCAGATTTATAACAATAAATATGCCAAATTTACACAAACCCAACTCCACATTAAATCAAATCAAACAAAAAATACAGAAGAAAATTGAAATTAAGTCAGGTATGAGGAAGATTAATGCCCCAACAAAAAAAAACCCAGTTCAAGAAAGATTCACGATATGTGCTTATCATTCAAAATTCCTTCCTTTCTTCACCCTAATTACACTCATTTATACATTCTTGACCTAATTTACATCAAAGTTTGCAGTAAAAAAAAAAAAAATCAGATAAACCCCAGAATAAATTTAACGGATTATAATACAATTCGAAAAAAAAAAAAAAAAAAAATCTTACTAGAAATATATAATTTCATCAAACCAAGAACATTAATTTAATTTTTAAAAATGTAATTAAATTAAAATGCATAGAATGAATACCTTGTGAGTAGTGGTGTTAGAAGAAGTGTAATCATTGTGTTCCATCTGAAGAAGAGATTATGTTATATTCTAAATCTAATAAAGTTGTAATCTTTACAAACTTCATTTGAGAATTTTTACTGCAATTAAATTAAATTATTGTTCTTCCCGGAAAAAAATTTAAGAGGCAATTAAATTAGATTTGTAAAGAAAAACGGAAAAACCCAGGATTTCTCAGGGATTGTAGCTTTGCCTGTAGGAGGTACTGAAGAGAGAAGAATTCTTTCTCTATTTAATTTTTTTTTAAAAAAAAAAAATTCCATTATCTACTATACACGTGCGGCGCATGTTGCTCCAATTTTTTTTTTTTGTTTTTTTTTGGTTGACATGTTGCTCCAATATGAAATATTAAGGAAAAAATGTTACAGAGAAATGTTCTCCTCTCTTAATTTCAGCTAATAAATTCTAATGTAATAAGGTCTAATACGACACATCAATAAAATCTACTTCGTATTTAATAGTTTTTTGTGCTTTTAATTCATTATTATCCTCTATGCATGTTTGGTGGATGTTGCTCTAATCTCCGTTTCCTTTTGTTTACTTGATGTGAGGTTGAAACATAGTTTTCTGGAAAATGTTGCAAATAATATAAAACAGAGATATTTTAATACTTAATTAACCGTATTCGTATCTCAATTATTTTTTAAATTAGCATATTACATACCCGTTTCATATCCATAACCGACTTTGTACCATCCTTGCGCAACTTAGTACAAGTATACGAGTAAAATTGAAATTTACGGCAAAGATAAGGTTCGATTAAGTACCCACATTAATTTTCATTTTGTCCAGAGGATAATCAACAGTTTCAACGAGTCAACATGGTTCAAGAAAAACCAATTATGTAATGCAACAGGAAGTCTTTAAGAAATCATTAGTCTTACTGATGAGCAGTAAGAGACCAGATAATCAAGATGCCACAAATATCTCATTCAATGGCTTTGCATTACAAGTTTAACCAATAGACCATATATTATAGACTATTGACGACGTTCAAGAGTAATGTATTCACAAAGACCACGCGAAGAAAAAGGAGTATAAGGTTGGTATCAATATGGCTCAGCAAGACGATAATAGTAGATCATGGTTGCAGTCTCGCAAAAAGCTTGCTTAAACCAGCAACAGCATCATATGTTAAAATGACCACAGTTCACATTGTAGCTTCTATTTCTGAATCAGACTCTGCAGGCACTAAAGCAGTATTGTTTCCACCTCGTAGACGAGTAGATACATTGTCAATTGCAGCATTCAGTTGGCTCAATTTGGTATTGAGTGTTTGTCTAGTCTTCTGATTTTGTCCAAACAAAAAAGGAGTTTCAGTATTTGTGTATGTAATTAAGATACCTCAAGTGGTATGTCTAGCCTATATAGTAAAACATACCTCCAGGCCCTCATCATCATAATACATTGGTCGCCTAGCTTTCCGGAAACCATATTCATCTTCATTCAGCAGAGATCTTCTGATCTGATTGCACAAAGAAGCCAAACAACATGATTCCTTTCACTTTTTTCCCCTTAAACAAGACAATATGAGAACAAACCTATCATTTTGTAAAAGCAATTACTAAACAGCATACACTAAGTAGCAATGAAGGTCCCAAGAATCTGCACTCTGAAACCAGTCTTCCAAAAGAATAAAAGCACCATAAAACAATCATAAATAATCTGTTATCAATTCTCAAAAGTTCTTTGACTCTTCAAGTTCTTATCCAAAAGTATGTCTTTGCTCCCTTGAACCTTTCTTCAACATGTGACACTTCATCTGAACCAACAACATGGACACCTAACACTACATTTTGGACCATGCATTTTTTCATTATTTAACTGGGTCTAACAACAGACGTACCCAAGTCCATGACAGACAGTATTAATTAAGTCAAACATTGTTCTAAAACAGGTTTCATAGACTCTTAATTTAATCAAAAATATGGATCACTCTAAGATAAGGTTCTTTTCCCAAATTATCCTCATCCTATCACTGTTAAATTATAGAAGCAGTAAAAGACATCTCGGTCAAATAAAAATATTTACGTTCGTCCTTGTTTAAGGAATATTAGGATTCTTGAACAGGTGACAATAGCCGAGTAAACATTAAAAGATTTTTGTATAGAAAAGAGGGGAATATTAAGTAAATAAATAAGTACATAAAACAATTATAAGAAGTAACAGCTAATTCCTCACATACTATAAGTACATAGAGCATAGCCGTGCTAAGTTCCTAAGTTCTTAGACTTCCTAAATGTTTTAGTTCATCAATCACTTTCTGTACTAAAAATTTATAGGTTAGATCAGCTGCAATTTTCAATAACATACAAAGATCTCAAAGCAACTCTTATGTGGGGGTTAAAGAGTTAAGCAATTAAACCTTGAGTGGAAAGCCAAATCACCTGAGGAGCAAAAATATATGCCAGAGTTCCACAAACTGCACCACCAAGAAGAAATCCAGCAACGAAATCACCACCACCTCCACCTCTTTCAGAATCACTGTGTGTAATTAAGTGAACAGCGTAAGACACACAAAAAGAAAGCTCTCCTTCATTCTCAATGAAATGGGGAAAGGGAAGCCACCCTATCTTTTTGTTTTTTGATTCCACCCACAGTTAAACCAACATATATGGTGAATAATTTAACACATCTCTGAGCAAGGCACCAGATCAAAACACCTACAGAGTATTATACTCCCGTTTTATGAAAATGTGACACAACTTTTATTCTATGAAGAAACCCTGTCAAACTACGAAATAATATTCTTCTGAAAGTATTTAAAAAGGAGGAGGGGGGGGGGAATCAAACAGCAAGAATTTTACATTATAATCCAACCGCCACTTTAACAAGTTAATGGTCAAAGTTAGCAAGCAGTGATAGCCTATTATTCAGAGATGACGGAACTATAGACTAAAAAGTTCAATATAGGCGAGGTTTGCAATCCGCATCCATTTTACAACCAATTTCTCCATGACTAAAATCATTATAACACAAGAAATTGGGACCATAATTACAACCGTGGTGAAAGCAAAGTTCCATATGTATTCTCTTCTCAGTTTTTGATTTCATCTTTGGGTGAGGGATAAAGAAGCCAAAATTTATGGGCAAAGTGTAAAGGTCAAGAGTAAAACCTGTACTGAGCACGAACAGCAAGCTTATGTTGCATTTCCGATCGCTTCGACTTTGTTGGCATAGCAACGATTGACATATTTCCTAAGGAAGTGCATTTTGAGAATGGAAGCTCACAAGACTTGAGATTAGGTCCACCTTGGTAATAAGAAAAGTAGATGTCACAACACGAGCTTTTGTGAGTTGTGACGATATAATTGATAGGAATGAAACCAGTGGCATATCATATTCATCATCAATAAAATAACTAGTGTCAAGAGTGAAAGTTATCTTAAGGAAATTGGAAGTAAGATGACAGACATCTTATATATCAACTTGCATCACTTATCTCTGGCACAAATCGAAATTCGAGCCATCCAGCGAACATATTAAATCATACTTGTATCATTAAATTCCAGAACAAATCGAATTCAAGACATCCAGAAAACATACGGAGTATTAAATCAACCTAGCATCATTTACTGTATTTCCCAGATGAATCGAAATCCAAGACACCTATCAAACGAATTAAATCAACCTTGCACATCATTTTCCCAACACTTCATAATCATGAATACCACATAATGACACGCAATTCCCATCACTCAATCTTAGCAAGGGTATAACAGATAACCAATCACATTTTTTTTTTCCGGACATTTTAAAATAGTATATGAGACTAATATCTCCAGAGTTGAGGCTAATAAGAGAAAAGTCATACTTACAAAGCAGATCCACAAAGACAAAGACCAACAAATTTCACACACAAATACATTTCAATAATAAATACGGAGTACTCCATAGATTACAATACTGCAAGTCCACTGCCCATTGTAAGATAATCAGATCTGAATTAACTCCATTCACATTACACATACCCTAATTTCAAGAATACTACAAAAATTCATGAAAAAATCACTCATTTCTAGTAAAAATCAAAAATTCAAGCCATGAGCACAATTAATCCATTTATGTACATGATTAAATCAATTATTAAGCAAGAAATTATACTAAGAATGATTAATCTGTCATCATTTCACCATTTTTAGTTCGTTGTTTCGGATTTTCGAAAAACCTCAAAATTTCCGCCAGTGAGTTGCAGTTAATTGATTATTATTTGCAGCAAAAAATAGAACTCAAAGGATGATGCAGAAGCTTAGGAAGAGAGTAACGGAGGAGAGAGAAAGAGAGATTACCAGTAATAGCAGAGGAAGAAAGAGAAATCGGCATTATTAGTGAGGAAAAACACAGGTATAAACTTCGGGAAGGGCAAATGAGTTCAGGTGTAGCCGTGTAGTGTATTGTTGATTTCTATAGCCGTGTGGCATTTAGGCCATCGGATAGAAACTCGTAAAAATTAATACTCCCTCCGTCCCTTGTTTACATGCCTAATTTTTTTTTTGGAGTTGTAAAATTATATGGCTATTTTAAATTTAATAATAATATATTTTTTGACAATATTTCCTCTTTTTGACAAGTTGTCATCAATTTTCTTTTATTTATTTTGTACTTTTGACATCATTTTCCAACACATTTTCTCTCCATCTCTTTAATAATTGCTAACTTCTTTTTCTTTCGCTCTATCTCTCTATAACCTCACATGCACTTTGTACTTCTCAATCATGGGTTTTAAAAAGTGAATCGCTAAACATCGCCCGCAAATTACCATATAAAGCCCACAAATATGACTTGGTGTGACAATTATGCCCCTTTTCTAAAATTGAACAAATCTCGATTTAAAAACTGTGGAGCCGTGCTAAGTTGCCGCGGGATTCCATTTTCTAAAATTGAACAAATCTCGATTTAAAAAAAGTGGAGCCGTACTAACTCGCCGGGGGATTCCATTTTCTAAAATTGAACAAATCTCGATTTAAAAAATGTGGAGCCGTACTAACTCGCCGGGGGAGACCGGAGGGTAGGCTGGAGTTGTGGGGGACGCCAGAGGTACGTCGTCGTCGACGGAAAACGAGGTAAGTCACCGGTAAAATTCACGGTTTACCGTAGGGGTGGCTCCGGCGCCTAGGGTGGACGCCCTAACCGTAGCAAGGACGTCCAAGCCAGACGCCAGAACCACCGGACCGGCGTCCAGCCCAGACGCCCAAACCACCAGACTGGCGTCCTGGCCAGGCTCCAGTCTGCTGGCTGAGGCGGCCTTGCCAGGCGCCAGTCCAGTGGCTGTGGCGGCCCTGGCAGACGCCACCCCTATTTTTTTTTTTCCTTTTTTTTTTCCTTCTTTGATTTTGTTGTTGGGCCTAATTTTTTTTTTTAAATTAGAAAATGAGTTTTTTAAAAATTTCGAAATGGCTTTTTTTTTAAATTAATTTTGAAAATTCGAAATAGGTTTTTGTAAAATTAAGTTTGAAAATTCGAAATGGTATTTTTACATAATTATGTTTTTTTTTGTGTTAATTCTGTGTAAATATAGAAATTAAATGTATTATGCGTTAAATGTATTTATTATAATATATAATTGATGCAGAATTATGGTGGAGACGAAAATGATTACAGTGGGATATTTGGACATGATGGTCCATTCGAATAAGCTCAACAAGCGATTGATTGGGCAAAACAAGTTGCAATTGCAGCTGGATTTTGCTTGGTAGTAGTAACTCATAAATCTCAACGGGATGGTAGAATGGATCGCATTTTGAGATGTGACCGTTATCGCAAAAGAGAAGAAAGAGATTTTCGTACAGCCACTCAGTTTGATACAAAGCGGAAAGGCTGTGGGTGTGAGTTCAGAGTAAAGGTCCGACAACTACGGAGTCGTGACGGTTGGGAAGTGATTGGTTACTCTAAATGGGGGTATCACAACCATGAGATGATAGTATATGAAGAGGGTCATCGACAGCTGAGCGGCTTAAGTCCTGCTGCGAAACTGGTTGTGAAAGAAATGAGTGATGCTCAAGTCAAGCTTGCTAAAATATTAGCATTTGTGTTAGAGAAATTTCCAGAAGAGCATCCAAACCGGAGACACATCTACAACGTCAGACAGCAACTCAGGTTTGAACGGTCAGAGGGAAGGAACCCTATACAGCAGCTGCTACACCAGGCACAATCACGTGGTTACCTGTTCTGGTTTGATTCTGATGAAGATACAGCGGAGGTGACTCATCTTTTCCTTGTGCATCCTGATTGTGTTGATATGATCAAGTCTTGGCCATTTGTGATTTTGATCAACTCAACGTACAAGACAAACAAGTACAAGTTCCCACTGGTTGAGATCATGGGGATGACTCCAACGAACCAGAACTTTCTGATTGGTCATGCAATCATCAAGGATGAGACGGCTCCAAGTTATTATTGGGTCTTGGAGAAGCTGAGAAACTACATCGGGCCTAATGTTCATCCAGCAGCCATCGTCAGCGACTGTGAGGGAGGTCTCTTTGCCCCCATAGCAGAGCTGTTTCCAGAATCAAATCACTTATTGTGCACATGGCACATCAACAATTGCGTGAAAGTGAAAGCCTACAACCTTTTCAACAAGAATTTGGAAATGGCAGAGAGATTGGTGAATGGTAAGTGGCGGAAGATCCTACAGGCTACCACAGAGGAAGCGTACGAGCGAGAATTGGCTAACTTCAGGGATTCGTATCAGTGGTGTCCGACACTGGTGGACTATGTCATGCAGCAATGGGTCCCTCACAGGGAAAAGTTTGTCAAATATTGGACAAACCAGGTACTTCATTACGGGAACACTACAACATGTAGAGTTGAGAGCGCTCATAGAGCTACCAAGGACTGGATTGATTCATCGACCGCTGCTTTGGATACACTGTTCGATAGACTTAACAAGTCAATTGAAACTCAGAAGAACGGCATCAGGAACTCTCTAGAGGACTCCAGACGACGACATGGAACGATGTATAGCCATTTCATATTTAAGATTCTCCATGGTCGTGTGTCGCACTACTGCTTGGGGTTGATTCTCACTGAGCTGAACAGGATGAGGGACTTGGCTGACGAAGTGTATGCTCGGTGCGGGTGTGCTATTTCAGCAACTCATGGATTACCTTGCGCATGCACCATTCACCGCGTTATTATAGAAGAAAGGCGTCGTTACATGTTGATCAGGTTCATTCATTCTGGCGGACGCTCGTTATTGGTGAGCATGCAGATACTCGGGTGGCCGACCGTGAACAGGAGGAGTTGGAGCAGTTTCGGGCGATGTACGACCGAGTGTCCTCCAGCCATCCTTCTATTATTCGTGACGCTACTCACGTACTTCATGACATGTTCCACACGTCTACCTTAGATTTTGAGGAACCCGATGGAGTTGACTGTCCTCGAGGTCGGCAACGGCGGAACAGGAGTGCGTTTGAGTATATCCGTGGTCTTGGTCGTGGTCGGACATTGTCATCTGGTCGTACTGAATCACACTCGTCTGTGAATATGCCCCTAAGGACTTGTACGTTTTGGTTTTTTACATTGCACATTGTTTATGAGGTTACTCGTGCCTTCTTAACTATGTCTAATTATATGGTGAATAGGAAGAAACGACGTTGATCAGTTTCCGTACAAGGACAGGATACCTGCGATCATCATGCCGTACTTGGAAGGGTGGAATGATGTAGTCGGAGATGGTAACTGCGGATTCCGGGTCGTGGCTGATGTTTTTCAAATGGGCGAAGACAACTACGGTTTGGTGCGTCAGTTGATGTACAACGAAATTGCCTCTAACCGAAATGTTTATCGTCATGTGTACCAGGATGACTTGGATGGCGCTCTGCGGCGTATCCGGTGGGGAGGTGGACCTTGCGGTCAAAATCATTATTTTGACGCGCCCCTAGATCTGTTTGTCGTTGCAAACATTTACAAGTGCGCAGTCATGCATTTCGGGCTGGGATTGCATAGTCAAGCTTATTATCCTTGTACCACGGTTCTCCCTTGGCGTTCACGTGAGACTGTCACCACACCGGTCAGAGAGGTAGCTATTGCGTTTCTTGGGTCATCATACAAACATTTCATCCGACTAGACATGTCATCCGACTTTCCAGTGCCACCGATTATACCTCGGTGGTACACCATTCGTACAGCGAGTGTAGAGGGTTGGGATGCGCTATATCATGACCGGATCCACGAATGGAACACCCTAGCTGCATTTTAGTTTTTCGTGTTTACATCATTCCTATGTAACCTTATTTGTACGTTGCTCTTTTAATGAGAACATTAATTTTTTATATTGTATTGCTTACTGCATTCTATATGTTGCATGGGTAAGTTGCGCGGATCCACGAACGGTAAAAACTAAAATGATAATATGTCAAAGTTGAAAAACAACAACGATAATATGTCAAAGTTGAAAGCTAAAAGAACAATCTAAAATGTTACAAACTTAAAACATAATGTTCAATTTAATAAATTAAAACGATCAAAACCATCAGTAATCCCTCCTCGATGCCGACTCCCAATGCGCAAGGGTCTGTTCCAGACTATCAACAGTAGCTCTCACTGTTGCACTCATGTTGTCCTTCTCCAGAGAGAGTTTCTGTACGTCCTGCATTATCTTTCCCATCCACTGCATACAACAAAAAATAAAAGATGAAATACAATAACAACATATAAAACTTAATTAAAAAACAACGATAAATATTTTATGAGACATACAGCTTCCGTGGCAGTAGGCGGTGGCAAACAATCATCATCGCTGTGGTCGAGATCTGCGATCAATCTCGGGTGCGAATACCGGTTAAACCATTCCATGTAGTACTGGTCACACATGGGAGGAAGCCCAGAGGGCGCCCGCTGCAACTCCGCAGTCCATAAGCGGGCCACCATCGGAAACTGGTCCCACGTCCCAGTCATGATATCTGGCCATCGCACGACGTAGTCCCTTGACGATGCAGGTCGGACCGCCTTCATCGGCCATGCCGGGGGAGGAGGGACAACTTGGACAAATCCAAGCTGGCGAAGACAACGCTGGGGCATGTACGCCTCGACGATCTCACGATATGTGCCTCGTACATGTCATCAACTAACAAACCTACCACCCCTACCCTTACGCACCTCCACCACATGTGCCTCGTACATGTCATCAACCCTCTGACTGAATGGACCATAATCATCATACGGTCCACTCCCATCGTCCACATCCTCATCCTCATATGCGCCCTCCTCCTGCTCCTCCTCCTGGTCACCCTCCTCAGCATCATCATCGTCATCGTCATCCTCATCCCGCCGGTGGATCCGTTCTCTACGAGCCGAGGCCGAAATACCACGGGATCTAACATGTCTATGCCCCGACCTCTCCACTGAATAGGTTCTACTAAGAAGCTCTATGTTCTTCCCCGCACCATGACGACCCAGTGAATTCTACAAAAAATTTAACAAATTATTTCAACTAATTAGGA